AGGTACTCACTCACTCAGGTACACACTCACTCAGTCATTCACTCAGTCACACTCAGGTACACACTCACACACTCACTCACTCACACACACACCCACCCACCCACCTACTCACCCACCCACTCACCCACTCACCAACCCACCCCCCCACTCACTCACCCACCCACCCACCCACTCACCCACCCACCCACCCACTCACTCACTCACTCACCCACCCACCCACTCACCCACTCACCCACCCACTCACCCACCCACTCACTCACCCACCCACCCACCCACTCACCCACCCACCCACCCACCCACTCACCCACCCACCCACCCACTCACCCACCCACCCACTCACTCACTCAGTCACCCACCCACCCACCCACTCACCCACTCACCCACCCACTCACCCACCCACTCACTCACCCACCCACCCACTCACCCACCCACCCACCCACCCACTCACCCACCCACTCACCCACCCACCCACCCACCCACTCACTCACCCACCCACTCACCCACCCACCCACCCACTCACTCACCCACCCACCCACTCACTCACCCACCCACTCACTCAGTCACCCACCCACCCACCCACTCACCCACTCACCAACCCACCCACCCACCCACCCACTCACACACCCACCCACTCACCCACCCACCCACTCACCCACCCACCCTCCCACTCACCCACCCACCCACTCACTAACTCACCCACCCACTCACCCACCCACCCACTCACCCACCCACCCACTCACCCACTCACCCACCCACCCTCCCTGCCCAGGTGAGTGCTAACGAGTTCTATGAGGAGTTCAATGGGCGGCGCTTCAACTCGATTGAGGAGGATGTCTGCCAGCTTGTGCACCTCGAGCGTGCTGACGTCATGCACAGTGACGAGGTGGGCCTGGGGCGGGGGGGGGCGTGGGGGAACGGGGGTGACGATGATGACGATGACGACGATGACGATGATGATGACGATGACGATGACGACGATGATGATGATGATGATGACGATGATGACGATGATGACGATGATGACGGTAATGACGATGATGACGATGATGACGATGATGATGATGATGACGATGACGACGATGATGATGACGATGATAATGATGACGATGATGATGATGACGATGATGGTAATGACGATGATGACGATGATGATGATAATGACGATGATGACGATGATGATGACGATGATGATGATGACGATGGTAATGACGATGATGACGATGATGATGACGATGATGATGATGACGATGGTAATGACGACGATGATGACGATGATGACGATGATGATGGTAATGACGATGATGATGACGATGATGATGATTGGAATGACGATGATGACGATGATGACGATGATGATGACGATGATGATGATGATGGTAATGACGACGATGATGACGATGATGACGATGATGATGGTAATGACGATGATGATGGTAATGACGATGATGATGACGATGATGATGATTGGAATGACGATGATGACGATGATGACGATGATGATGACGATGATGATGGTAATGACGATGATGATGACGATGATGATGATGATGATGGTAATGACGACGATGACGACTGATGACGATGATGATGGTAATGACGATAACATGTGTGAGTGAGTGAGTGTGTGAGTGTGAGTGAGTGTGTGAGTGAGTGTGTGAGTGAGTGTGTGAGTGAGTGAGTGTGTGAGTCAGTGTGTGAGTGTGTGAGTGAGTGTGTGTGTGTGCGCGTATTGCGGTGGTGATGGTGGTGGTGGTGTTGGTGACGGTGGTGGCGATGGTGGTGGCGATGGTGAATTTGATGATGGTGGTGGCGATGGTGGTGTTGGCGATGGTGGTGGTGGTGGTGGTGATGGTGGTGGTGGTGATGGTGGTGGTGACGGTGATGGTGGTGGTGGTGATGGTGGTGGTGATGGTAGTGATGGTGGTGGTGGTGATGGCGATGGTGACGGTGGTGGTGATGGTGATGATGGTGGTGATGGTGGTGACGGTGGTGGTGGTGGTGGTGATGGTGGTGGTGGTGATGGTGGTGATGGTGATGGTGGTGGTGATGGTGGTGATGGTGATGATGGTGACGGTGGTGGTGGTGGTGGTGGTGATGGTGGTGATGATGGTGACGGTGGTGGTGGTGGTGGTGATGGTGGTGGTGATGGTGATGATGGTGACGGTGGTGGTGGTGGTGGTGATGGTGACGGTAGTCATGGTGACGCTGGTGACGGTGGTGGTGGTGGTGGTGATGGTGATGGTGATGATGGTGACGGTGGTGGTGATGGTGGTTACGGTGGTGGTGATGGTGGTGATGGTGACGGTGGTGGTGATGGTGATGATGGTGATGGTGGTGGTCGTGGTGATGGTGGTGGTGATGGTGATGATGGTGACGGTGGTGGTGGTGGTAATGGTGGTGATGGTGGTGGTGGCGATGGTAGTGGTGATGGTGGTGGTGATGGTGATGGTGGTGGCGATGGTGGCGATGGCGATGGTGGTGGTGGTGATGGTGGTGGCGATGGTGGTGGTGATGGTGGTGGCGATGGTGGTGGCGATGGTGGTGGCGATGGTGGTGGTGGTGATGGTGGTGATGGTGGTGGTGGTGGTGGTGGTGGTGACCGTGGTGGCGATGGCGATGGTGGTGGTGGTGATGGTGATGGTGGTGACGGTGGTGGTGGCGATGGTGGTGGCGATGGTGGTGGTGGTGGTGACGGTGATG